ATGTATATTGTTTTTAGGCCCAAATCATCTCAAGGAATTTTGTGACAGATTTGACAGTCTGAAATTTACATTGGATGGAGGAGGAAACCTTTTAGAACGGGCCTGCCGGAGACTTCGGTAACTCCCTCTCTTGGGCTCCTTAAAATATACTTATCTTTCCTACAACACTGATACTTGCTTGAAATCAGAGTTTAGGTTGGGATTTAGCTGCAAGGGTCAACTTGCAAAATTAAACATTTTAGGGGGCCTCCAGTCGAAGATAAAATACTGCAAGGGAGAAGAGTGGGAAGTAAAGGGAAAAAGGAAAGAGCCAGTGCTCCCTCTAGTGGGGAATTGTGGAGAAGCACACAGATTCTTGGTGCTCTTGGTACTCAAAAACTGCAGTAGGTTCTCTGCTTGCTGTTTTTTATTTTTTTTATTTTTTAGACAGAGTCTCGCACTGTCGCCCAGGCTGGAGTGCAGTGGCATGTGATCTCATCTCAATGCAACCTCTGCCTCTTGGGTTCAAGCGATTCTCCTGCCTCAGCCTTCCAAGTAGCTGGAATTACAGGCGTGTGCCACCATGCCCAGGTAATTTTTGTATTTTTAGTAGAGATGGGGTTCCACCATATTGGCCAGGCTGGTCTTGAACTCCCGACCTCAAGTGATCCGTCTGCCTCGGCCTCCCAAAGTGCTAGGATAACAGGTGTGAGCCACTGTGCCTGGCCTCTGCTTGCTAATGTCTAATTGCTGACTGGAACACTCCAAATATCTCACCATAGAGCGAATTAGGTCTCCGACACAAACACATGACAAAAAGAATTACTCTCTTCCTCTATTCAGGAGGGTCAGTTGACTTGTAGGACCATATTTTAATAAAGATCTAACAGTAATTAACTAAGAACGTACACTAAATAGAGGTATTTTTAAATGGCAAGAGAACAAAATATCTGGTTTATCTAAATGTGGATATTTACACCTTCGGTCGTTACATATTAAGAATTTTGATCTATATGGTGACAGGATTTTTTTCACATTTATCTCGCCTCATGTTGGGGGTGAAAAAAATCTCCAGAACTCCACAGTCTTTTGAAATGAGTGTCCACTGAAATTCTACCTATTCATAAAGTGCTCCCACAGCTTGCCGGCAAGCATAGGTATTTTACATCCTGCCATCAGTTTCAAGACATGAACTCCTTCAGCTATCGAAATTACAGTGAACAAAATTTGATTAAAAACCATAGGTGACTGACGAGGCTTTCACAAGGTTTTTTGGCTGTGTCCCCAACCAGATCTCATCTTTAATTCCCACATGTTTCAGGAGGAACTTAGTAGAAGGTAAATGAATCGTGGGGGCAGATCTTTTCCACGCCGTTCTTGTGATTGTGAATAAGTCTTACGAGATTTGATGGTTTTATAAGGGGGAGTTTCCCTGCACAAGCTCTCTTGTCTGCTGCCATGTGAGACATCTCTTTCACCTTCTGCCATGATTATGAGGCCTCCCTGGCCACATGAAACTGTAAGTCCGATAAACCTCTTTCTTTTATAAATTGCCCAGTCTCGGGTATGTTTTTATCAGCAGCATGAAAATATAGTAAATAGGTACCGGGAGTGGGTGCTACTGAAAAGATGCCTGAAAATGTGAAAGCAACTTTGGAACTGGGTAAGAGGCAGGGATTGAAACAGTTTCGAAGGCTCAGAATAAGACAGGAAAATGTGGGAAAGTTTGGAACTCCCCAGAGACTTGTTGAATGGCTTTGACCAAAATGCTGATAATGATATGGACAATGAAATCCAGGCTGAGGTGGTCTCAGATGTAAATGAGGAACTTGCTGGGAACTGGACTTGTAATGTTTTAGCAGAGACTGGTGGCATTTTGCCCCCACCCTAGAGATTTATGGAGCTTTGAACTTAAGAGAGATGATTTAGGGTATTTGGCAGAGGAAATTTCTAAGCAGCAAAGCATTGAAGAAGTGACTTGAGTGCTGTTAAAGGCATTCAGTTTTTTTGTTTTTTAATTTATTTTTTATTTTTTTGAGGCAGAGTCTTACTCTGTTACCAAGGCTGAAATGCAGTGGTGTGAACTTAGCTCCTCAGCCTCCCAGGTTGAAGCAATTCTCCTGCCTCAGCCTCCTACGTAGCTGGGATTACAGGCCTGTGCCACCACATCAAGCTAATTTTTATATTTTTACTAGAGACAGGGTTTCACCAGGTTGGCCAGGTAGTCTCAAGCTCCAGGCCTCAGGTGATCTGCCTTGGCCTCCCAAAGTGCTGGGATTACAGGCGTGAGCAACCACACCAGGCCAGCATTCAGTTTTGAAAGGGAAACAGAGTATAAAAGTTTAGGAAATCTGCAGCCTGACAATGTGATAGAAAAGAAAATCCCATTTTCTAGGAGAAATGCAAGCTGGTTGCTGAAATTTGCATGAGAGGAGCTGCATGTTAATCACCAAGACAGTGGTGAAAATGTCTCCAGGGTATGTCAGAGACTTTTGTGGCAGCCCCTCCCATCACAGGCCCTCAGGTTTAAGAGGGAAAAAATGGTTTCATGGGCTGGGACCAGGGTCTCTGTGCCGTATGCAGTTTAGAGACTTGGTGCCCTGCGTCTGCTGCTCCAGCAGTGACTACAAGGGGCCAAGGCACAGCTTGGGCTGCTGCTTCAGATGGTGGGAGCCGCAAGCCTTGGCAGCTTTCATGTGGTATTGAGCCTGCGGGTGCACAGAAGTCAAGAACTGAGGTGTGGGAACCTCTGTCTAGACTTCAGAGGATGTATAGAAATGCCTGGCTGCCCAAGCAGAAGTTTGCTTCAGGGGTGGGGCTCTCACGGAGAACCTCTGCTAGGGCAGTGCAAAAGGGAAATGTGGGGTGGGAGCCCCAACAGACTCCCTACTGGGTCACCACCTAGTGGAGCTGTGAGAAGAGGGCCACCATCCTCCAGACTCGTAGATCCACTGACAGCTTGCACTGTGCACCTGGGAAAGCCACACTCAACACCAGCTAGTGAAAGCAGCCAGGAGGGGGGCTGCAAAGCAACAGGGGTGAAGCTGCCGAAGTCCATGGGTGCCCATCTCATGCATCAGCATGACCTGGATGTGTGACATGGAGTCAAAGGAGATCATTTTGGAGATTTAAAATCTGACTGCCCACTAGATTTTGGTCCCTTTGTTTTGGCCAATTTCTCCTATTTGGAATGGCTGCATTTACCCAATGCCTGTATCCCCATTGCATCTAGAAAGTAACTAACTTGATTTTGATCTTACCGGCTCATAGGCAGAAGGGACTTGCCTTGTCTTGAATGAAACTTTGGACTCTGGACTTTTGAGTTAGTAAGACTTTAGGGGGACTGTTGGGAAAGCGTAATTGGTTTTGACATGTGAGGACATGAGATTTGGGAGAGGCCAGTGTAGAATGATATGGTTCGAATGTGTCCCCACCCAAATCTCATCTTGAATTCTCACATGTTGTGGGAGGGACTTGGTGGGAGGTAATTGAATCAGGGGGGCAGGTCTTTCCCATGCTGTTCTCATGGTAGTGAATAAGTCTCATGAGATCTGATGGTTTTATAAGGGGGAGTTTCTCCGCACAAACTCTCATCTGCTGCCATGTGAGATGTTAGACACCTTCATCTTTCACTTTTTTAAAATAAGACAGGGTTTTACCACGTTGGTAAGGCTGGTCTTGAACTCCCGATCTCCAGTGATCCACCCGCCTTGGCCTCCAAAGTGCTTGGATTACAGGCGTGAGCCACCACGCCTGGCCTTATCTTTCACCTTTCACCATGATTGTGAGGCCTCCCCAGCCATGTAGAACTGTAAGTGCAATAAACTTCTTTCTTCGGTAAATTTCCCAAAGACATACATTCTCCAGTATGTCTTTATCAGCACCATGAAAACTGACTAATATACCTGGTTACTTGCCCCTGATGGGTGAGGGCACCATACACTCCTCTCTGTCCCTGATGAGCTTCAGGCTCATCTTCTTAAGGATATAGTGTCAGCTCCCATGGGCATCTGCAGGAGGTCTCAGGGATCTCCCATAGGCCTTTGATGACCCAAGCAACTGCATTCCTGGTCTACTACTTCCCCTTGGAAGGTGCTTTTGTTCTAAACATAAGCATTGCAAAAAGTAGTAATAAAATCCTGTGAACAATCACCATTTAGCAAATGATCTTCCTCTCTGCTTCAAACACACAGGCAGGCCCACTGAGGACAGTGTATATTCTTTCTGTAGCACTTTTTGGTCACAGGAATGTGGCTGTGCCATAACCACCTTCTGTGCCTTTTCTCGAACTTGTTCATCAGAGGATCTCTGGTGATCAGCACAGATTCTGCTCTATACATTCTGCATAAAAGTTTATGAGATAAAATTGTCCCTCTGAGGCCAGGCATGGTGGCTCACATCTGTAATCTAAGCACTTTGGGAGGCTAAGCACCTGAAGGTGGATCACCTGAAGTCAGGAGTCTGAGAGCAGCCTGGTCAACATGGTGAAACCTTGTCTCTACTAAAAGTACAAAAAATTAGCCAGTCATGGGGAAGAATAGGGTTGGGGGAAAAGAAGAAAACAAAACCAAAAAAACCAAAAAACAAAAAAGAAACAAAAAATTAGCCAGGCATGGTGGCAGATACCTGTAATCCCAGCTACTCAGGAGTCTGAGGCAGGAGAATCATTTGAACCCAGGAGGTTGAGGTTGCAGTGAGCCAAGATGGCATCATTGCACTCCAGCCTGGGCAACAAAAGCAAAACTCTGACTCAAAAAAAAAAAAAAAAAAATTATCCCTCTGATATGGTTTGGCTGTGTCCCCACCCAAATCTCATCTTGACTTGTAGCTCCCATGATTCCCATGTGTTGTGGAAGGGATCCCGTGGGAGGTAACTGCATCATGGGGGTATTTCCATTGCTGTTGTCATGCCACTGAATAATGAGATCTGATTGCTTTATAAAAGGGAGTTCCTCTACACATGCTCTCTTGCCTGCCGCCATGTAAGACATCCCTCTGCTCTTCCATCTTCCGCCATGATTGTGACATCTCTCCAGCCATGTGGAACTGTGAGTCCATTAAGCCTTTTTCCTTTATAAATTACACAGTCTTGAGTAGTTCTTTATTAGCAGTGTGAGAACAGACAAATACACCCTCTCTCCTTTTCCCTTCTCCATATGTCCCATGAGAGTATAAGCTAAAATAAGCAGGAAAAAGGTGAAGTGTGGGAAATGTAATATTTTTCTAAGAAGTAACAGCACTAGAAGACGAGCATGACTGATGTCCTTTTGACAATTACCACAAAGTAAAAAACAAGAAACGCCACAAAAAAAATATAATTGGGTTTTCAAAGAAAAGAAGTGACATGCATGTATAGCCACATACTTCATCTGAGAACCTTGGCACTGTTTCTTGTTATCGTAGCCAGACACAAAATGCCCAAAGATACACAAAACAAACCATACAAATTTTAAACACTTTTACAAAGGTGGAAATATACAGAAAGGAAGACTATGGATTGATGTTTGCAATCATTAATTTACTTGGAATCCTGTCTGGTGTTAAAACCTAACAGTTTATCAGAATTTATATTTGATACAACTATTTTTAAAATTATAGTGGACAAAACTGATGAAATTCTAATCTTCAATAGCCTATGTTGAATAACTATTATAATTAAATTAATACAATCTTCAACTATTCTCCTAAGTACTCTTGCTATAATTTTCTGTTTACTAAAACTTTTTATTTTAGGGAACAAAACTGACCTTACCGCTATCTCAGGAAAAAGAAACAACAGACGTTCATAAATATTTAATCTCAAATTTTAAAGCTTAAAAGTTCTTTATTTCTGCCAACCTGAAACTACTTTTGGTTCACTGCTAACTTTTAAAATATCTTAATCAATGTGATTTAAGGTCATTTTGTCTGCAGAGTGCTCATTATTTTTCATCTTTATACCAAAGCAGTAAGGCAAAAAAGCAGTTCCTTTTCCAAATCAAAGAGAAAATATTCATCCATTTTAAAAGTTAAGAACTAGAACTGCTGCAAATGATCCTACCAATAGGAAACTAAGGCTGCTGTGATTTTCCTTTATATTTAAACCATAAATTTAAGATTAGCAGTGCTATTGCCTGTGAAAGTTGAATTTATAACCTTTTGGCTTGAATCATAGGACATAAATATTGCCATTTCTGTTTATACTTCTGTGACATTGTTTTCACAACCACCTTTGATAAGTTTTAAGATGAAGTCAGAAAACACCACACAGTGCTCAAAGTGCATGACTCTGCTACAAGAAGATACATGCTAGAGGTGTTAAGGGCAGATTCTAGTGTTGGTGAGCACTGGCACAGTCTGCCCCAGCCTGGCACACAGATGTATAGGACACACACCACTAACATGGCATGTAGTGGGGGAGCAGGGGCTAAGGCCTTTCAATGCTCCAAAGTGTCAGCCTTTACTGCCAAAAGCAAGATTCGTGGTTTTGCAAAAACCTCTGGGTACCAGCTAGAGTACATCCTGTTCACTGCAACATTCTTCTTTGAAGCAAGTCCTTTCAGATATGTGAAAGAGACAAATCATGTAACCTATCCTAAAAAAGATTTCCCCAAATCATTTTCTAGCATGAATGTGAACCAGGCTTCACAGTGTGTATCTACCAGTATTAGCACCATATTTTGGCCTGCACTGAGGTAACGATAAACTCTCAGACAGCTTTGGGTAGAAATTACAGCAGCAATCTTAAGTGGGGTGTTTGCAGCAGCATTCTTTCTGATCACTAAGTTGTATGAAAAACCATCTGAATCCACATATAATCCACATATATACATATCTCCAAATACATACTGAAGCTGATAAAATACAAAGTTAGGCTAACAGGAGAAATACAGCAAAACAACTCTCATCTTAAAATTCAAATTATGTCATTACTGGGTTGATGAAGTCAAAGATTTGCATAAACTATACTGACCCAATAGCACAAAGCTGGCTTTATCAACCGTCAACACCCAGAATTTCATTTTTCAGAGCACGGTCAAGTTCACTGCAGGTGCTACCCAGTCAACATCGAGAACCTGCATTTAACCAGGCCCATTTGTCCTCTGCTTATTACACATCCTGTTTAATAAAAAGGTGAGTAGCCCTTTCCCAACTATTTTGATATGTGTAGAAAAACCTCTCCGGAATTTGTACTTATCATTTTTATAAAGGATGCAGTGGAAAAGATGTTAAAACTCTGTAAAAAATTGAAAAGGATACAGTATGTTTCAACAGATGAAAACGCAGTTAAGAGATAACTGGACAGAAAGAGGTGATTCTCTAATTTAGTCCCTATATGCTGATAAGCTGAAACAATAATGTTAAAATAAAACAATGAAAAATTTTCAAATTGCTTTTCTTCTCCCTTTAAAATTCCTTAACATATAAAAGAAATAAGAAAGCTTAGATATAGCTAGCTTTTTGGAGCAACACGAAACTAATTTTTCAAAGAATAATTACCATTATTTATCAGACAAATATAATTTTGGAGTCTGAACAGCAATGGAATTCAGCCAGTCTCCAGTTGGAACTGACCTCCGCACTTAGGCAGAAGCACCAGGCCAGTGCTTACTGCTCAGGCAGAAATTTATCACGCAACTTGACCAAGAGTCTTCAAAAATGCTTAGCAGTAGTATCTCCATCTGACTCTGTCGAGATTCAGGAAAGAGGAGTAACTTCCCCTTGCAGCCTATAGAAACACTTTAGGGAAACAGTTTAAGATTTGTACTTAACCTAAAAATTCAGCTGAATACTGAAGACCATTCTTCAGAAAACACAAGTAAACAGTCATTCTTTTAGAAATCTTCTGGTGCTAACTGCACCTAACTAACTGGTAATATATATGGAGGTACAGCTTAGCTATGTTTGCCAGAATGCAAATTACTATATCAGATCTTTCAGTTCCCTGTCAGTCAGTTCATTCACTTCCATGATCTTCTCTAAGTGTTCCATATATCGGCCATGGTCCTGGAGGAAGTGAGGGACCCTCATGTTTTCGGTAACTGCCAATCCTTTTAAGCGATCCACATCTTCATAAGAAACCTGAAAAAACGAAGATGCGTTAATTTAAAGATGTAACTACAATGTACGTTTTAAGGATGAATTTCTTCCCTTGGCCTTAAATAAAAGTATACAGATCATTTGTCAAACTATTTTAATAGCTGCAAAACAACAAAAATCAGTGACTTACCTTTTCTTCACTGTGTTAAATAATAATGTATTTCTCAGCCTCTCATACTATGACCATATTAAAAGAGTATTACTATTATTATTACTAATTTTTTCTGATAACAGAGTTTGGCTCTTGTTGCCCAGGCTGAAGTGCAATGGCATGATCTTGGCTCACTGCAACCTCCACCTCCTGGGTTCAGGTGATTCTCCTGCCTCAGCCTTCTGTATTGCTGGTATGACAGGCGCCTGCCACCATACCCGGCTAATTTTTTTGTATTTCTATTTTTTAATTTTATTTATTTAGAGACTGAGTTTCACTGTTGTTGCCCAGGCTGGAGTGGAATGGCATGATCTCGGCTCACTGCAACCTCCGCCTCCCGGGTTCAAGCATTTCTCCTGCCTCAGCCTCCCAAATACCTGGGCTTACAAGCATGTGCCACCATACCCAGCTAATTTTGTATTTTTAGCAGAGATGGGGTTTCTCCATGTATGTCAGGCTGGTCTTGAACTCCCGACCTCGGGTGATCTGACCCCCTTGGCCTCCCAAAGTGATGGGATTACAAGTGTGAGCCACTGCGCCTGGCCATTTTTCGTATCGTTAGTAGAAACAGCACTTCATCATGTTAGCCAGGCTGGTCTTGAATTTCTGACCTCAGGTGATCCACCTGCCTTGGGCTCCCAAAGTGCTGGTATTACAGGCATTAAGCCACTGCGCCCAGCCTAAAAGATGATTTTAAAAAGCCAAATTTAATTGAATACTCTACCTTGGACCTACTCAGTTTGTCTAAAAATTAGACAACTATATTTAATATATTTGTGTGTGAGCCAGACTCTAAAACCAAACAAGTCTTCTGGCTAAATCGAAGTAAAAGAATCAAGAAAATAACCAGAATATAAATGGCATATTATTAAATTAGAAAAATTAGCACAATTATATAGGATGAGCATCCCAAATTCAAAAATGCAAAATCTGAAATGTTCCAAACTTTTGGAGCACCCACGTGATGCTCACAGAAAATACTCATTGGAGCTTTTAGAATTTCCAATTTGGGGATTTGGGATGCTCAACCAGTAAAGAATGTAAATATTCCAAAATTCAAAAAAAAAAAAAATCCAAAATCCAAAACACTTCTAGTCCCAAGCATTTTAGAGAAGAGATACTCAGTCTGTATATTAGATTCCTATTTCTCTTTAATTTAGGACACATAGTGAGTTGTGATGCGAATCACATTTTCTTGCTTTTATTTTGAATTTCTGTAAAAAAATGCTCACAGCTTTTTCACTCTCCTATTTAAGAAGCCAGGCTTTCATAGGTACTTATATTAGGTTTAAGGAGGAAACTTTTAAAGTTCTATGAATTATCTTTATTTTTATTTTTAAACTTTTAAAAAGAGATAGGGTCTTGCTCTGTCACCCTAGCAGGAATGCAGTGGTATAATCACGTCTCACTGTGGCCTTGAACTCCTGAGCTCAAGCGATCCTTCCCACTTAGCCTCCCTACAGGCATGTGCCACCATGCCCGGCTAATTTGTTTTTGTTTTTATAGAGGGGAGGTTTCACTATGTTGCCCAGGCTGGTCTCGAACGCCTAGTCTCAAGTGATCCTCTCGCCTCCACCTCCCAAAGTGCTGTGATTACAGGTGTGAGCCACCATGCCCAGCTTTAAATTATCTTTAAATTCTAAAACATAGTTGGCTCTAAATACTATGATCTTCTGATCAATACTCTTCCAGGCTCAGTAGGAAAGCTTTAAGAAAAGCACTTGGCTGGGTGCAGTGGCTCACACATATAGTCCCAGCACTTTGGGAGGCCATGGTAGGAGGATCACTTGAGGTCAGGAGTTCGAGGGTAGCCTGGCCAATGTGGTGAAACACTGTCTCAACTAAAAATACAAAAATTAGCTGGATGTAATGGCAGGTGCCCATAATCCCAACTACTTGGCAGGCTAAGGCAGGAAAATCACTTGAACTAGGAGGTGGGAGGTTTCAGTGAGCCAAGATTGCGCCACTGCACTCCGGCCTGGGTGACGAAATAAGACTCCATCTCAAAAATAAATAAATAAACTCATGTTCATAGTATATCTATATTTTATTAAGGTTTTCAAAGTTTTTACTATTATCATTATTTTATTTGGTATTTATACCACTAAATGTAATCAAAATAGGTATATAGATATTGGTATCGTTTAGCAATTCTTAACTTATTCTCAGTTTGTTATAGGAAAGAGTAAATATACTGACATTAGGAAACAAGATTCTCATTTTAAGAGATGGTAGATACAAATACAGAATGGGAGAGGAGGTATGAAAGAATCTTGTAGGGTCTGATGTGAATTGCAGTGCCCTTATGATTTAAAAAATAGGTATGATTTGCTCACTGAAAACCCCAGAAGCAAGAGTACTCCAATAGCAAGGGACACACCAAGAACTCAGCTTCTGTTTTAAAAAAATACCAATTAAAAGGAAACAAGACTGCATTAGAGAAATGGCTGATCTTAGATTTGGGTAGGAAAAGTAGAAGTTTTGCCCAGACATTTTACTATGCCAGAAAACCTGGAGACATGTTTAAAACATAGGAGCAGCCATGAAAAAGTTGAATTAAAAAATAATTCTAATTAAGTCCATAATAATACTACAAAAACAGGGAGTGACAAAGAAATATAAAAGAATTAGAAGACCTCTATTTTGTTACTACCAGTATAATAATTGATTCGGGAAAAGATTATCAAGGGTTGTTAGGGAATAGCCCATTCATAGATATCATCCCAAAGACTATTTATTAATACAGTGGGGGAAAGGTACTTTTATAATGGGGAGATCTGGTGGTCACTACCTTAACCCAGGTGATCAAACACAGCAGGCAATCAAACACCCTGGTGATCAAATGGAGCAAAATGACATGCACCTTTTCTATTGTGATGCAATGGGAAATACATATCACTTATGCAGTATTCTTGGCAAAAATGTTTAACCTGAATCTCATCAGAAGGAAACAATCTGATAATCCATATTGTAGGAATTGTCAAGAAAACTGTGCCAATCTTTTTTTTTTTTTTTTTTTTTTTTTTTTTTGAGACAGGGTCTGTCTCTGTCTCCCAGGCTGGAGTGCAGTGGTACGATCGTGGCTCACTGCAGCCTTGACCTCCTGGGCTCAAGTGATCCTCCCACCTCAGCTTCCCAAGTAGTTGGAACTGAGGTGGGTGCCACCTTGCTCAGCTAACGTTTTATAGAGACAGGGTTTCCCCATGTTGCCCATACTGCTCTCAAACTCCTGGCCTCAAGTGATCCTCCTGCCTCAGCTTCCCATTTCAGCCTCCCAAGGTGTTGGGATTATGGGCATGAGCCACCTCGCTCAGACCAAGTCTTAAAAATATAATGAAAATAAAGCAAGAATGAGGCAAGGGGAGACTATTACAGATTAAAAGAGATGAAAGATTATAACCAAATGTAATACCTAAATCTTGATTGGATCTTGGATCACAAAAGAAGAGCTACAAAGGACATTTGGGAGGCACTTTGCAAAAACTGAAGTGTACTATATTTTAGATGTTATATTTAATCAATAATAAATATCTTAAAATCATATGGTCATGTCAGAAAATATCCTTTTCTTATGAGATATTATGGGGGGAAGTGTGATAGCTGCAGCTTACTTAAATGCTTTTATAGTTTTCAGATAATGCTTTTTTAAAAATATATATATGTATACAAATAAAAATAAAACAATATATATTTCCAAATTCCTATTCTTTATCTCTTATAGACCAAAAAGAAATTTTACAATTTGGTTCTATTACAGAACCAGATTTCTTCCCTCTTGTTATGAAATAAAGAAAATTTATTCCAACAATAAAGTAAAAATAGTGTGAATCTGAATCTTATTTAATCCTAAGCTCGAGTGAGGGGAAATGCTAATCTGGTGTGT